AGGGGCTGGGGATTTAGCTCAGCGGCAAAAGCGCCTGCCTGGCAAGCGCAAGGTCGTGAGTTCGGTTCCCGGTACCGGAGAAAAACCAGAAAAAAGAAGTGGAGAAGGCTCTGGTCTGGTAGGAAGAATTCACCGTGTCCCTGGGTGCAGCGAAGGAGCACAGGTTAGCAGAGCCTGGAGGGGAGCACGGCCACTCGCCAGGAACACAGACACTGTGCCTGCTGTCCTTCTGTGTCCAGGCCCCTCCTTCAGCCCTGTCTCATGGTGGAAGTGCTGCCTGATTAAAAATGGTCACAAATGCACCAGGGCTGCAGACTCCTTCCAGCAAGATGGGACGTCTGTTCCCCCAAGCCCTCTTCATCTGGTGGCTGTGTGACTTGAGTGACAGAGCATGGTGAGTAACACAAGCTCCCAGCCTAGGGGCCAAGAGGGCGTGTGTGTTTCCGTCCCTTACTTTCTGGCCGTTGTCATGACAAGGACATGCCACAGGAGAAGGGTGAGGACGCAGGGAGCAGAGCCCTCCATGAGCCAGCCTGACACGCCCATTGCCAGCAGCCCCAATTCATAAGGATTACAAAGCTACTGACATGAGGACAGTTTGTTACACAGCGTGACTTGCTGACAAAGCAGTCAAGAGTCAGAGATGGTGGGAACCAAGTAGAAGGCAGGCCTGGAAACCTCCAGTATCAGGTGCACCAACCCTCACATGAGGAAATCACAGGAAAGAGAAAACCAATGAGCAGGGCGCTGCTTTTCATGTCCAACGTGGCTGTAAACTTTTTAGTATTATCTTTTCCTTCTCGTGTTTAGGAAGCTTCTACCTGCCCAGCTAGGACAGCGGGGGAAAGATACCCAGACAAGAGAAATATGATAACTTCTGGTGTTTCATTGAACCATAGGTTGGCTTTAGATAAGGATAATGTACTGTACATTACAAAAAAGTGAGGAAAGAAGAATTTTGATTTCACCATAAAGAAATGATAAATATTTGAGAAGATAAATGTTCCCTGGTTTGACCATTACAAATATACACATATCAAAACAGCCCATGATACACCATAAGTATGTATATTTTTTGTGTCAATTAAAGTAAATAAAACATAGAAAAAAGAAAAAGAATTTGCATAGTCCTGGTACCCCTGACTATGAGGCTCACACTCACTAGCCAGGACCTTATTTGCACTTTCTTCTTGTCCATAGACTTCTGGAAATTTTGTCTAAATTGTTTTCCTCTCCTGGGGTGGCCGCCCTGGCTTCGGGCCACCTGCTGGACTCTGGGCCCCCTGAAGTGCAAGCTCTTCTTATCCCACCCGTTCTGACCCTTAGACCTCAGGCCAGCTGATCTTGGTGGCTTACCTGGACCTGTCTCTGAGCCTCTGCCCTCCGATCCCTGGTACCATCCCAAGTTATCAGACCCGGTGTCCGCCTCTCCAGCCTGCTGTCTCCACACCTCTCGCGGGAGGTTCCCCCGGCTTCGGAGCTTGTTCTCACAGAAATGTGCACACTGCTTGGGGTGCTGCCCACAGATGGAGATGCAGCTGATGCAGTCTCTCAGGAGATGGTCATAGTATTTGCCTTGCTCCTTGCGGCAGCTGAGTGACTCTGGGAGACAGAAATGAGGGATGCTACAGGTCACAAAAGCTCTGGCCTGGCCTCAGAGGACATCAAACTAAAAAGAAATAGTCAGTCCAATTCTCAAAAAGCAATTCCAGAATAATTCAAATCTTTTTTTTTTTTACAAGAAACAAACTGAAGGCTATTCCTTGTCCTCTAAGTGCAGTTCTAGCTGCACTGCCCACATTTTGATATATAGTGTTTTCTCTGTATCTACTTCAAAATGCTTTTATTTTCCTTTTTATTTCTTCTCTGACTTATAAGTTCTTTAATAGTGCATTTCTTATCTAGATTATCACATTGTCAAATAAGATCTTTACTTCCCTCTTTCAAACCTTGTCAAGGAAAAATATTTCAAATTAGCATAAGGAATGTAGAAGGAAAGCCAGAATCCTCTTTGGCAAATTGGGAGAGGGGGCTGAGAAGAATGTGGGAGAGCTCCCATTAATAGTGCTTCTTGTATCTTAAAAATCAGCGAGAATGGCAGCAGCTTAAACATATATTGGTGCCAAGGGGCAGAAGTCAAGCGAACTAAAGCCCAAGCACATCTGCCTCAAGGGACCACAGCAGACCCATCTCTGTGAGCATAAAAGAGATGTACTGGAGGGCTGAGGTGTAGCTCAGCCACACAGCACTTGCCCAGCATACATGAGGCCCCGAGTGCCAGTCCACGGGTGGAGGGACGGACGAAAAGAAATCTACTTGAGACAGTCATTTGCCTTCCGGAAAGCCTCGGAATGTTTTTACTTTCCAATGCAATCAAAAAATGGGCAAGTGAAGTGACTAGACACCTTCAGAAGAATAAGTGGCCATTAAATACAGGAAAAAATATGCCATTGCTGGCTATTGGAGAAACACAAATTAAAAGAACTCTGAGAGTCCATCTTACCCCAGTAATAATGGCCATCATCAAGAAATTAAATAATAACAAATGCTGAAGAGGCTGTAGGGAAAAAGGAACGCTTCTACACTGTTGGTGGGAATGTAAACTAATACAATGGAAATCAATATGGACATTCCACATACTAAACATAGAAATTTCATTTGATCTAGCTATTCCCTTTCTAGGTATCTTCCCAAAAGAGTTAAAGGCATCATATTACACAGATATATATACACCCATGTTTACAGCAGCACAATTCATATCTAAATATTGGAAGCAGCTTATAGGTCCATCCACAGATGAATGGTAAAAGAAAATGATGTATTTACACACAGTGGAATACTATTCTGCCATACAAAAGGAAAAACTTGAATCATTTATAGGAAAATGGATGAACCTGGAGAATGTAAAGTTAAGTGAAATATATCAGACACACAAGCTGAAGTATCACATTGTCTTGCTTCCATGAGAGTAAAATGAAAATAGACAGTAGTAATAGGGAGGAAGATCATTCTCAAAGGGGAAGGGGACCAGGAGATAGAGAGGGGAGGGAGGAAAGAAATAACAGATGAAAAAAGGAATCAGGCCAGCTTGGTGATGCATGCCTGTAATCCCAGCACTAGGGAGGCTGAGGCAGGAAGATCACTGTGAGTTCAAGGCCAGCCTGAGCCACATAATGAGATCCTGTCTCAAACAAAAAACAGAAAACAGAAAACAAAAAAAGGAATCAGGATGTGTTATACACATGCATCAATTGCACACGAAGAATGTACACACTGTGTACCACAAACTGGTACAAACAAGAAGGAAGAGGGGGGCTGGGGATTTAGCTCAGCGGCAAAAGCACTTGCCTGGCAAGTGCAAGGTCGTGAGTTCGGTTCCCGGTACCGGAGAAAAACCAAAAAAAA